CAAAAAAACGCTTGGATACGTCAATTGGTATTTTTAAAAAGTTTTTGTTAAAAAAAAATTCGTAACTAAAAATACCAATCGACGTGACTGAGTGTTTTTCAGAAAACACGCATCCATTTATGTATTACCGAATTTACTCCATTTACCAGAAATAAACATATATGATTTTGAAATCTAACCATAGATTTTTGGAATAAAATACCCATTTATTCCAAAATGAAGTCAAAAACTACTTAAAATTGCTATTTAAGTGTACTTACAAATCGATAGGAACAGCAAAAGCCGTGACATGTAGTATTAACTTCAGCGCAGCTACTCGTTCTTGTAATCAATGAAATTTGATAAGAAATTTATAGTCACTTGTTTCCACTTCCGTAAATTTTAAAATAAAATATACGTTTTTAAAACCAAATATATTTGCCAATTTCTTAAAATGTACAACTTCACAAAATGTTCACCTTGAAAAACCGGAACATTTTGAGCTTCGTTTTTTAGCTGACTGCTCATACAGGTAACACATGAAATATTGTATATTTTAAATTGGTTTATTAATTTTTCGGTATTCTTCAATTTAATTTTATTTATTGCGCGGATTTTCATTACTTGTTTTGAATTGTAAAGAAAAATATCCTCAATTCGATTATGTAACAATTTAAGGTCTAAATTGGCTTTAATCACAAAAAAATGGTCTTTTGCACAGCCACTTAACTTAATTTTAAATACAAACCTATATTATGTTTGGATCATCAATTAGCAATAGGTAAACCATTTATTTTGATTTCCTTATAGTACCAAATTCGTTCTCGAAAGTGTTTCACTTTAAAACATTTCCAATAAAAATAAAAATAGACTTTTTCGTTAGTATAATTTTATTTTCATGCAAATACAGCATCACTACAAGTCGAACAATAAATTAATATTACAGAAACTATTAATAGAGAGCAAGAACTAAACTGGGATTATAAAAATGTCCAAAAAACGATTTAATGCCCAAAATAGTTTATATATTAAAACAGAAGGTTTCTGTTAAAAGGAAAATCATGCGTTTCTAAAAAATTGCGAATATACACCCTAAATATAACAATTTTTCTAAATAGTTACATAAAAAAGGAAACAAACAAGACAAATAAGATTTCTTTAATAAGTACCTAAAATTTGTATAGATATCGAAGAAGTCACTTCAGTCGTTCTTATAGATTTAAGAAATATACCTAATGTACCCCACAAATACCAGGTCTTCAACAATACCCGAAACCCACGTGATCTGATAACCATCAAAAACCCATCGAAAGGGCCTGATTTGACGTAAAAGGAACTAAACTAAACTGTCAATCCTGTCAGAAATGTCACTGGCTTTCATTTGGGGACTGACAATATTTATATTATATTTGTTTACAACTATTGTTGTTCATTATTTGACTTCCGCCGTCAACTGTTATATTTTATACCCGGACAAAATATTGGAGAAGGTGAGTCATATGCATGATCAACACTGTTGTCTATGAATGAAAATTCCGACAGAGTCAGCAGAGGCGCCGTATCAAATAACAAATAATTATTTATTAGGTATTTCTTAGTAAACTTTATTAAATTTGTTTGTCAACGTCTTTATTTAAACAAAGATGATGCGTTAAATATACGTTTTTGATAGTTTTCAAGAAATGAATATATTTATTCCCTAATGACTTCGTTATCTGTGTTTAATGGTTTTAAAATGTGTTTCAAGAAAATAAACTACAGACGGGTTACAGATTGAATATTGTCAGCACAGGCACAAAGACAGTTGAAAACTAACTTTCGACGAAATTTGTATCGCTTTAACTATATACGATAATTATTTTATATTTTATAAACACTTTTTTTGTATAAGTGCTCTTTTCTGATAGGTGTTCATGTTTGTGCCTTACACTTTGGTAGTAGTAGTGACTATTCGAAGAGTTATATATATTGTGTAGTATATTAGGTAGGTACTTTAAAAGTTTATTAAATAGTAAAATATTGGTGTCTTTATAAATTTAATAAAAACAATTTAATAGTAGAATTATATTGTTACAATAGTAATGCATTCAGAGGCGGGTCCAAGTGAACCCAATTACGTCGGCGAAAGCCCTTATCAAAGGATGAAAAGAACATTATATGGAAAGTGTATGATGGGCTGAAACAGACACTTCCTACAAATGAAGCTGTAAACCGCAGTTTTTTTTTAACTGGAGTATCTGTTTCAACAATTGAACGTATTGTACGCGAAAAGACAAAAAAGGCTCCTTATAAGCCCCTAAAACGCATACCCGTGGTCGAAAATTGTTGAAATTGGACGATAACCAAAAACAAATCATTCGAAGAACTGTACATTTTTTTTTTTTTTTTTTTTCTTTTTCGAAAACAAAGCCCCAACACTTAAAGTTGTTCTTACGAAATTAAGAGAAAACGAAGAAATTCCATTAATGAGCCGTGAAACTTTACGAAAAATTTTATGGGGCTTAAAATTTCGTTTTGTCAAACGGTGTAGGAAATCAATTTAAATTGGGAGGTCAGATATAGTGTCCTGGCGACGGCGTTATTTACGAAATATTAAAGAGTTTAGAGCCGCTAAAAAAAAGATATACTATCTCGATGAAATGTGGGTGAATGCTGGACACACGGTATCTAAGATATGGCAAGATACTTCTGTAACTAGTCATCGCCAAGCTTTTATAGAGGGATCATCTACAGGTTTGAAAGCACCATCAGGTAAAGGACAGCGCCTAATTGTTACCCATATGGGAAGTGACAGTGGATTTTTGGAAAAAAGTGCTCTTGTGTTTATATCGAAAAAAACAGGAGACATGAATGCAGAATGCTTTGAAAAATGGTTTACTGAAGTATTACAGCGTGTAGAACGAAATTCAGTTATTGTACTAGATAACGCTTCTTATCACAGTAACGCATTCCGATAATGTCCAGTAGGAAAGCGGATATGCAAACCTGGCTGCGGGATAAAGCAATAACATTTACTGAGGAGATGCTTAAAGCAGAATTAATGGACCTAATAAAGGAACACCGCCATAAATATATTCAATATGTTGTCGACACAATGGCTCGTGATCGTGGTATTACGGTACTAAGACTTCCCCCTTATCACTGCGAATTCAATCCTATTGAACTAATTTGGGCGCAAGTGAAAGGGTTTGTAGCTCGAGAAAATAAAACTTAATAGCCGACGTTCAAAGTTTATTAAAAACCGGTATAGACGTATTAAACCTGAAGATTGGCAGAATGCTATTTCCCATGTAATTAAGGAAGAAAATAATATGTGGCGCTTGGACGGTATGATCGAAACGGTAGTTGAACCTTTAGTCATAACTTTAATTTCCGACCAAAAGACGATTCCAGTAATAGTTCTGCAGAATCAATGGATTACGAAACTTCATAGATTTAGAATTCAATTAAGTAATACCAAGCTTAATTTACATATTTTTATAATAAACAAAATACAATTATAAACATAGATGAATTATTATAACAAAAATAGATAACCAACCTACTTTCATTTAGTAATATTCACAAATACCCATTTAATTTGCCAATATAGTATTTATGCGACACTGGAAGAGTGCATTTTGATATGATAACGATACCTTTTGCAGTTTTAAGGCGCACCTTCTTCAATATTTTGTTCTAGTATAATACCCCATTTAATTTTCCAATAGTGTTTCTACGCCACTGGCATAATATTTACATATTTTAACAATAAACAAAACAAAATTATAAACATAAATGATTATTACTACAAAAATAGATAACCAACCTACTTTCATCTAATATTATTTACTATTACCGCATTTAATTTGCCAATAGTTTTTATACGCCACTGGCGTAATTCATTTTGGTAATAAACATGCATTTATGACTAATTGGCACGTGATACCGATAACGTCTGCAGTTTTAAGCGCGTGATTCCATTAATTATGCTCTGGTATAGTATGATTGTTGTACATGAACAGGAAGGAATCACTTTCTTTAATATTTTGTCCGAGTATAGCAATGGTTTATTTTCAGAATTGGTTTAGTTTTCCAAAAGTAAGTAGTGATATTATCCGTATATCTTCTTAAATTTGGTATCATACTGGTTATTATTAATCTTATTGTTTATAGAATATTATTTGTTTTGGTGGTTTTTATTAAAAATTTTAAAAAACGAGGTGCTCTGCTCGAAACCAGTAGAGCACCTTAACTTTTTGTAAAAAAAATAGAGTATAAAATAGCCCTTAAAAATGTCTTAAAATACCCTCTAAAAAATGTATTATAGCTCTTATCTCAAAATTCCATCGATGCTCTTCTGCCTTCTTTGATATGAAATTAAAAATTCATGTTTTTAAAGTATCGTTTTGATCCAATAAAAATTCAAGCATTTTCTCGCTATGTTTTATCAATCAAGTTATCAACATGTTTTCGTATAAAGGACCAAGCGAAATAAATGAAGACAAATGATGAAGGGCCTATGTAGCAAAATAATTTTTACGAGATATTTCGTGTTAAAGTTTATTGTTTGGCAGTTATTCCCTAGTACATGGGTCCTTTATCCACTGGCAACTTCTATATTTGATGATATATTGTCACGGAAGACATTTTAAAAGAATTTTAGGTACTTACGCCCTTCATTCACAAAAAAATACCATTAAAAAAATGTTACATAGGCCCTTCATCCACTTGTGTCTTCAAATATCTTCGTAGGTTTTTTTAGTCAGTGCTTGGGTAAGGCTTTGAATTATCTAAAAAAAAATTCCGGTGGCGTTACTGGTATTATTTAAAAATCATATTTTAACACAGTAATGATAATAATTTGTAGGAATTCATTTCCATACATTCAGTAAAAAATATACAAATTTGTAGGTACTTATAAAAAAAACTAAAATATTCCATTATTCACACATCTTCGATTGTCATTTTAATTTTCGGCTTCCCGTGCTGCAAGGCTATGTGATTCACAAGACTGGCCTTGCGACTGTAACTTTTCTTACAAATCACGCAAGCGAAACTTGATTTTTTTCCACATTCGATTCTTAAATGTCGATTGAGAGTTATCTGATGCTTGTATTGCTTGAAACACTGATGGCATCTGACAGAACCACCTATAAAATAAAAGCTTAAGTAAAATTGAAACACAGTTTGAAACACCTTGTAAATTCAAGTTAATCGTCGCCTTACAGCACTGTTATAAAATTGTTGTTAAAATCTAAGTCTGGAAAGGAAGGGATATGGTACTAGAAAATTCTATCCTTATTTGTTATTTTGAATAAACATAGTTAACATAAACGATAATAAAAACAATAAATAGTAACTATAGTATTCAGTTGTTATTTGCACAAAGCTTCACTCTCACGTACCACTGTGCATCCTTGTTTATTGTATGGAGTAGCGCAAGCGCCCTTCCTCTGTCATGCATCAAAGACGGATTTTTCAAACCCTGGCAACCGTCACTGGGGTCAAGTTTTTCTTAGGCAACCCAATAATATCACGTAAAGAATAAAATTACCTTCAATATAGGCTATGATTCATTTGAATAACATATATGTTGACACATCTATTTAAAGTTGGAAACTTGGGTAATAGGATCAGCTTTATATATTTTTTAAATTTATTTATGTATATAACAAATGAGGGAATAAAGTAAAAAAAATAAATAATTAAACTTTATGTAAAGAGTGGACATATTGCCAAGTTATTGAGAGGCAAAAGGATTTATTGTTTTTTTTTATTATCTTTTATGTTAACTATCAAAATAACAGATGGGGCTAGAACTTTCTAATGACTTATAGACCAGAGCATACTGGCGCATTCGTTTGCAAAATTGTTTTAATTCGTAATTTTTTTTTAAATATCCGGAAGGCTTGCCTAATTATAAAATTGTAAGATGACACTCGATATTTGTTGATGTTATTGTTTAAACAACGAAAAATTAATTAAGCCAGAAAAAATGCATTTTTTGCAATGAATTAATTTTTTTATATTCTTTAGGATATTTCGACTAAAAAAGTCCTTACGCCCATCATCGTATCTTCAACCCTTTAATTGTTATGAATTTTTTTAAATCCAAAATTGACGAAAATTCTAATTTTCTTGAATTAAATAATACCTTAAAATTTAAAATACTATAATTTTAAATTTTTTACCGAATATTCAAACTATAATAAACAAAATTACCTAAATAAATTTTCAAAATTTTGTTTGTTATGTTTTTTTTACGTTATAACAATATGCTTCCTACGCGCCACGATTAAAGGGAACGACATTATTATTCAAAAAATTACACGACTGCAAAGTAAACCAGTAGATGTAGAATCGAGCAAGACTGATTAACAACTGAAAAATAATTTTCAAAACGAGCCAAAAATTCTAAGGTAGGGTTTAATTTTCTATTTGGAAGGTTGTAAAAATTGTTTATGACAGGAAAAAAATACAATTTTTTCAAAATACGAAATAAGTCCCTTTACCTATTTGTATTCATAGTGCAAAAGATTGAAAGTCATAAAAAAATTTCATATTTATAGTACTTACTCTCAGTATTAAAAAAAAAATGTTTTCCTTATTTTTGTTAAATGGAGAAATTTTATAACCCCAGTAAGCCTACTAGGTTCATTGTAACAGGTAGATCACGACAAGTGCATTTGGCCTTTTTATCGTATTGAAAAAAAAAAAAGGTTGAAGAAGATTTTACTTCTCAGGCAGTATCTGACAATAATTTTTTCATGAATAAAAATAAATGTTAAAAATAAATGTTTTTGTTAACTTTAATAAATAAAAAAGTTATCAAAAGTATCTAAAAAAGTAAAAAAAAAATCACATGATACTAAACTATTAATCGGCAAATATAACAAAGTGTTATGAAAAATGTTAATAATAATTTTAAACTTATTACCTCTGAAAAACAGCAAAAAAATTGATTCAGCGCGTCATCAGGCTTTCTCTTACCCATCTTATACATTAAGTTGGAAGTGAGATAGAAGTACTTCTCTCTAAAAGTACACGCGCGTAGCAAGCATATTGTTATACCGTAAAAAAACATAACAGACAAAATTTTGAAAATTTATTTTGGTTATTTTGTTTACTATAGTTTGAATATTCGGTAAAAAATTAAAAATTATAGCATTTTAAATTTTAAGGTATATTATTTAATTCAAGAAAATGAGAATTTTCGTCAATTTTGGATTTTAAAAAATTCATAACAATTAAAGGGTTGAAGATACGATAATGGGCGTAAGGACTTTTTTATTCGAAATATCCTAAATAATATAAAGAAAATTAATTCATTGCAAAAAATGCATTTTTTCTGCCTTAATTAATTTTTCGTTGCTTAAACAATAACATCAACAAATATCGAGTGTCATCTTACACTTTTATAATTAGGCAAGCCTACTGGACATTTAAAAAAAAACTTACGAATTAATACAATTTTGCAAACGAATGCGCCACTATGCTCTGCACTATTAGCTTCATTTAGTACAAGCTTGTCACACAATGTTTGCTGTATTTTTAACTTAAATCCACAGGAGAATATAGGTATTTGTGGTTTTAATTCAACAAAGAATATGAGATAATGTAATAATTAACAATAGTCAGAATCTGTAAGGTAAAGACCAATAAAGGTTAGTAGTGACATAATAAAAAATTGACGATTTCTTCTTAAGTTTACAAGGTGATACTAAGCTATATACCTCTTTATAATGAATTGGACTGTCCTACATCATAAGAAGTAACAAAACTATATTGGCACATAGAAAACGTAGGTCATAAACAATTTTTTTAAATTTATACATACCACGTGTCAATTTAAAAATAATTTGTTGTCATAGGAAAGGTTATCAAAACGAAGGATAGCATAACATTAAACACAGTTTTTTAAATAATTTATTTGATAGATACAAAAATTATTTATAAAAAATCTGTATAAATAAGAAATATACATATAACTTAAAAAGTCTACATATGACTAAATCTTTGGCTTTGTAACTTACAAATAAATTTGATGAAAATTATTATTAGAATATAAAATTATTTAAGATTTCAAATCGCGTCAACGTTCAAAATATGATCCAGACTTAGCACCTATCTGTTTTCTTTTCCAAACGGTTTGCTTAAAAGATAACACAAATATCTTTAATCAATTCTAATAATAAAAATATCAGCTAATATTGTTTGTTTTTTTACAAATAGATTAAAAATGTTGAAGCATCCTTATATGAGTGTTATAATTGCTTCTTTGTTTGAACTTTCTTCCGCACTTGCAGACGAACTTTGGCTCCACCCCGCATTCGAAGTTCAAATGTCTTATTAAATGTGTTTTTTGCTTGTACGATTTGCCACATTTTTGACATGGAAACCGTCCGTTCTCGTCAATGAAATATTTGCTGTTCCTTCTTTGATCGGCAAAATACGACCAGAGATCTACAATTTTATTTTATTATTTAAGGTATTTACAAATAAGGAGAGGGAATGGAATTTGGGTTTTGTAAAACAGATAATACATAAATATTAACGATAAAGTAAAACATTTAATTTAGCAAAAAGTAGTGAGGAAATGGCGGAGCAAAATGAGGAAGAATGTCATTGACTGAACTATGAAGGGGAGGGAGTTGAGTTTGGATTTGGTAAAGCAGATAAGGAAATAAATAAGTACTAGGAAAATGGGGAACCGGCATGAGAAGGTAATTGACTCGGTCTATCTATGAATTTCGAAGGTCTCTCTACTCTCTGTAAAAAACTTATTAGTTCATAGTTTCTTATAAATCACTAGTAGTATATCTCTAATAAAAATTAGGAAGCATGTATCTTCAGATCAATGACCCAAACTTCAACATGTCAACATATTTTTTTGTTTAACAAAATGAGAAGAATGTCATTAAATTTGGTAAAGCAGATAAATAAGTAAACCATAGCGGTAAAGTACAGAATTTTATTTAGTAAAAAGTAGTAGGACAGTGGCGAAACATAATGAGAAGATAATATATTCGTCCACCTCCAAGGTCTACTGAACCTTTAAAGGTGGATATAAATGTAACGCGCCAGACCAACGTCGCAATAACGGAGCAAGTTCCTGCGTGCCTACCACGCGCCACGCCAAATCAGATTGAAGTAGATTCCTTGCTTTCCATCACGCAGTAGACCAACAGCACCGAACTTGATCCGTTGTTGGCCTATGCACGTCGCAGGCATAGCGCGCTATATTTACACTCACCTTAAAGGTCATATTGTACATTATCTTTAAGGGGTCACCCATAGTTGATTAAAAATATAAATAAAGAACACGAAAATTCAAATAATTGCAATCTTATAAAAAAATAATAAGTATTGTTTCTTAATTTCAATAACCAAAACCCCACCTTATAAATTGTCTGCCTACGCTACTGAGTCAAACAAATGTAAGTAGATGAAAAATTTTTTCTAGCTACATATTAAATTAATTCCCATTAAATTTTTTCAAGTCTAATAAAAATATTATGGACAGGGTTTCAAACTATTAGGCATTCCAACTACCTGTTAAACAATAGCTGCCAGTGGGGTCTCGTAAATTTAAGGGAGTTGCGACATAGCCTTCTAGATTGGACGCCATTTTCATTTAAAAGTAGTCGCCAAGCCTGCCAATTTATAGAAAATGTGTAAGCGGTTTATGTAATCCATTAATTATGATTTTACGTATTGTAGATAAAGTACATCGTATGTCGCAACCCTTTAGACATACCAAACCTTAGCATCGCGTTTCATTTGTTTGGAATGCCATTCAATTTCTTTTGGAATCCAAGGTGGCTATATGCATATTCAACAAATTTAATATAAATTTTTAAAGTTATACAGGGTATACCAATAAAAACTCCCAGGCCGGATATTTTGGTAAGTAATAGAGATATTTTAATTCTGTAAAAGCCAGTTCATAGAACGCTAGAAGAGCTTTAGTTTTAGATATAAATTAATTTTAAATATTTTTTCGATGGAAGGACTTTTCTTATATAGCCCATCTTATAAAAAATGCATTTTTAAACTTATTTTGTTTTATAAACTAATTCGATATATCTAGCCGTTTTTGATATACAGAGTGAGGCACTCAAAACAGTTTCATCCTGTTTTTCGGCATTTA